GAGAAAAAGAAATGACAATAGCGAAATTCACAGGAAAAGCGAGCATTCTCGCGGAGAGTTCTATGAGGCATGCAGAGAAGTGAGAGATAATGCGAGAGTCTTGCCTTCAACTCGTGGATTGTTATAAGACTATCTTCGTCTTCATACAATGTTAAACGATCAGTTAGATGAAGGTATTGCTGCTGACAATGAGTTGAAATCAGGCGCAATTACATGTGTAATGAAGATAAATTAGAAGTAGCGAACGAAAACATCGAAAACTGACAAGGGCCTAGGAGACTATTTATGCAAAAAACAAGGTGAGAGGAAGGGAGTGCAGCAACTCTGACAGCGATTTTGAGGGCCAATCATGCTGTTCACTGAAGCGGTTGCTGAAGTCAACCCAATTGTGAACTACATTTAATTGCAGAGTTGCAAGTGATAACTTGTAGATTTACCTCACTTGGGCACTTACAAAATTCATTTGTGCTGAATAACCACATCCTTTGTTCGTGGAATGTGTCTTTAATCGGAGACTTACGCCTCACTTACGTGATGCGCCATAGCGCGCCCTAATAACTATTGCAGTAAAAGGTTAACATTTTTGAATTTGGTTATCCGACAAGTAATTCTCATAGAAATTACAAAACCTGCGAAAGAGTATCATCTGCTCTACAACATACATTGTATTTATTGTATCTCTTCTACATCCTTGTAACACATTGAATTACAGGCTTGCAAAAAGTAGAAGATTAGCATTTTTAACCTAACTAATAAGGTTCCCAATCAAGAAGACTGATGACATTACCGGATAAACTTTTCTCCCAAAATACCGAAAAATCAACCAGGATGTCCCGTGCTTAGTTACGACTTATGTGGAGTATTTCGCTATTTTTTCAATACGTTGTCTAATCGGACAACAATAATGAGCTATGAGATCACGGCTAGAAATTGTGATTCACAGGAAGAGACTCGAAAATTTTGAAGGAGAAATTCTCAGGAAAGGCTATAAAATCTAAATTTCCAGAGGAGAGACGATTAACTTAGCCCTCACCGTTCACAGTTACCAACTCATACATTGAAAACTGCAGTTTCCACTGAGGAGACTGGCGGCGCACTCAACCGAGCATACCCGATTTTTTGTGAAAGACACAACTATTTCACTGAAATACTATTGTGTTTTACTACTGTGTGGCGAAAATACAATTTCCTTTTGATTAAAAGAGACCGTAAACTGCCTTCCTCACAGTTTTCTCTATTTTTTCTATTTTTAATCTCTCCGTTCTTATTGCGGAGAGGGAAATACGAAAATCCCAAGTATAAAAATAACGCATCACAGGGAATCGTACAAAGGCGGTACTGGCGAACGTTTCTCTATGACTCGGCCGAAAGATCAGATCGACAGAAACACGGAGCCGCTCGATGGAAGCACGGTCAACAGGTCAGTTATGGCTCCATATGAAATTCCCATGCTGCTCGCAACTCTGATCGTATAGGGACTCGTATAAAGGCGGTACTGGCGAACGTTTCTCTATGACTCGGCCGAAAGATCAGATCGACAGAAACACGGAGCCGCTCGATGGAAGCACGGTCAACAGGTCAGTTATGGCTCCATATGAAACCGACGATGCTGTTCTCAACACTGATCTTATAGGGAATCGTACAAAGGCGGTACTGGTGAAAGATTCACGCTGGCTCGTCCAAAGGATCAGATTGACAGGACAGGAACACCGATCCTCTGGACGGAAA